TAAAGCTATTTGATACATTTAAATGCTAAAGTTATGCTTAATTCCAAGTTAAATATATATATATATATATATTTTAATTAGTTATTCTTATCAAAAGAGAGATTTAAATAATCAGGATAAGTCTGGAAAGAGTGAAACAGCCAGATGTTCAGATTATTAATGACAGTCATCAAAGCGATGGAGTATTTAAATCCACTCCGTATTTTCAGTTCCACAAGAATTATTAATAACAAAAATATATTATGATAATGATTAGGGCTGATTGGTTGGTTTTGGATAGAAACATAAAATAACTTTGCTATGAAAGTTATAACCAATTAACTATGAAACTTTTTAGTCCAAATCAGTTTTCATTTGTGTGTGTGATCTACCTGATAACATCTAGTAAAAAATCCAAATAAATAATTTTCCCATCACTATTTTGGTCAAATTGAATAAATAAAAAAATGACATATTTTTGGATATTTAACTTCGTTATTTTTCCAAGTGAAATTGAGAAAATGAATTTCTATTTACAAAAAAAAAAAAAAAAAACTAATTCTTCTCTCAAAAGATTATGCACTTAGTCCCTAAAAGCGAAGCAAGATTGGATTTTCCCTGATATGCAAATGTACGTATGTATGATCATACGCTTGCGTATGTCCAAATGTGTCAGTATTTAATTGTATGTATGTGAGCATGTGTGTAAGTCAAATACTTATTACGTGTATGTAAGTCAACTATCAACTACTTTTCATTCTTTTGAAAGTGATGTTTTCTTATAATGTATTTGGAATAATAATAGCTATAGCAATAGAACAAGGAATGATATCAAATAAGGTTTATCCGATGATTAAAATGACGAATATTGAAGATCTTTTATTTGAAATTTTTTTTTCAGTGATTAGTGTACATAAGAGATATTCAAGTTTTTTGAAAAAATATCCTAAAAGTTATTTTTATGGCATCCATCTATTGCCAACGTTTTGAGCCATATACCGCCACTATACAATATCTGAATCCAAAATTCAGTTGAGCGCAATTGCCTAAGGCAGTACCAGCAGTAACCAGTAGTAAATTCCGATTCTGTAGCACAAAAGATGTTAGTAAACAAGATGATAGGAAGAGTGCTGTTGTCACACTTGAGTACATCTGTCGATTGCACAGGACACTAACGAGCAGAAAGGGTACACCGAATAGCATTCACGGTCTTTCATGTAAACATATGGTTTTAATTTTGAGGCGTTCGCTTTTCTAAATTAATTTTTTTGCTCTCTTAGTAAGACTGCGAGAATGTCAGTTCAGATGCGTTCAGCTCGTACTCCCTCATTTAAAATCAATGGTAACAAATTACTCTAAAACTGAATACCAACCAAGTTTTTCTTTCATCATTTTCTGTAATTTTCATCCTTAAAGTTTTTGTGTGAAGTTTGTTTAGGGACTGATAGAACATCCTCGGTGATAATGAAAAGGTTGACATAAATTTGCGCTTAAATGCGAGGCGAACAGAACGTAATTGGGATTGGGCATTCATTCTCATCTGTCAATACTGTCCAAGATATGATTAATTAGTTAGAGGTTTTCATTGTGATGGATATACAGCATAGCATAGTCACAATTAAGCTTTTAAAGAAGCAAGGAAGGAAATAAAGCTAACAGTTAGAGATGGAAATGGACGGTAGGAAAAGAGAGTGGAATTTAGAGCCAAAAAAATTTAAACGATCTAACAAACACTAATTTAATTGCTCATGATATGTTACCATTTTTCAATAAACGATGTGTACACACATACATGCAAAAGAACGCTCACATGCATTACGTACAGAACAGGTATTTGAAGTGATTATTGATTAACAAAAAGAAGAAGAAGAAGGAATTTCCCCACTTTGAACAACAGTTAAGTATTGGGAAATCTGAAATGAATAAATCCGAGTTTGTTTTCATCTCGGTTTATACATGCATTTGGCTCTATTTTCTAACTTTAATGGCCATAATTGCAGTCACACGTGTGACTTACCGCATTTGATTCTATTAAACGAACTGCAATAAGCAAACATTATCAGTAGTAAGTTGAATAGAAATGCTCCTATTAATTTCGTTAAATTAATGAAAAGTATAGAAAATGAAACGAATTAGAAATTGATCGTTTATTTTTTCGTTTTATTTCATGGAAATATTAATTAAATCGTTGAAATATTAACTGCAAAAAGATGTGAAAACGAACATACGTAGACTTCTGTTCTTCAAAATGGAACAGTAAATTCTGTTCAGAAATCCTCGTAATATCCAGAAGTCGTCAGCTGTTGGTTCTGAGGAGCTTGGAATTTGATAGACAAGAGAGGGTTATTTACTTATGGATTGGTGAAGGGCACCATATTTCGTATTATGATAAACACCTCTTGTGGTATAAACATTCCCGAAATTTCTGGTTAGCATTTCATGGAGAAGCTTTTATAGAATCGTAAATTTTAAAGAAAAAGCGATCAACTTGGGTCCATTATTTTTTCTGAAAAAGAATGAAATTTTTGATTTGTAATAAAACACTGGATCGGATGAACAAGATCATCCATTATGGCTTAAACTAGTAGAATGTGGAAATCATTAAAACTTCCATCTTTGATCTTCCGGATTTTCTCCGCAAATGGTACGATGAACTTTAGAGTTGAATGTAATCACGTCAACGTGTGAGCTATGTTAATCTTCTCGTATCGATCGGCAGCGACTGCTTCAGTAACATGGTTGTAACCAGTTATGATCAAAGATAAACTTGCTGTTTATGTTCGGAAGCAAAGAAATTTATGAGCTGCATAAAATCTGAGCTAATTCCAAGAATGAAGCAAAAAAAAAAGATGTAACAAAGCAGGTATGTGGGATATCAGCGGACTAGACGTTATGAAAGAATCTGATAAGAAAAGATTCAAAACTCATTTTATCCAAAAAATTGCAGTGTAATTTAACTCTTTTCAAAAAACACTAATCAGTCTTGAAATACACTTCAGCAGAATTAACCCAAAAAAGAACTTCCTATAATTCTATTCCGAAAGAACTATTATTTGAAATTAAAATAGTAAAGCAAATGAATCAAAATTTCCACGTCTTTCTCATGTCAAGTTTACTTCTGCATTAGATCATCATTTCATTATCACTGATAAGTCGAAGTATTCTACCACTGATGGAAACTCTAAAAATGAGACTATTAGATTTGAGAAAAAATGATTATCAGTGTCCTTGCTACTTCCCGAATAAACAAAAAGTAGAAACAATCTATTTATGCATTTCTAGATATTTTAATAAATGACATGGTTTGCTCAGCCATAAAACTTTTGTTAAATCGAATAAACATTTTCAAGAAAATGTTTATTCGATTATTATTTTGTTAAGTTACGCTCAAACAACTCTTGATCATATCTATTCGTCTTCGATATTTCACTTAATTAATGATATTTGTGATGACAAGTTTTTTGGAATAATTGAAAATTGATAAATGTTTAGGAATTTTCCAAAATTTGTCAAATTCACGAAAGGCATTGTAAATAGAGATGGCAAGAAATGATGATTAGAAAATATTTGACTGTTAATTGATGAATTTGCGTTAACTCTAAATTCGATAGTTAGTGTGAGAACTTTTTGTTGGCCAACCCCACAATGTTTTTTTTTTGCACTACTTATGACATCAATAACTTGGAAAATTTAGGTAAATTCAAGAGATCTGCTAAGCTTTCGAATTTTGCGAATTTCATGCCTGATATGAAAGTTGTTTGTACAGCCATCACGAACTTAAAAAATGCTAAGCAGACAGTTCCAAATACAAGTAATCAATGATTTTATCATTCAATGATAAAATCATTTATAGTGCAGTGACTAAAATCTGTGCGAGGAAGTAAATTCATCATTGAAATAGAAAAACATTTAAAAAAGGAATTTCTTTCCCAGTTTCAATTTGTCATTTTTACGAAGTATTCATCTACGTGCATCTACTGCAAGAAAGTACTTTAAAAATTTTCAAATTGTGTTTTAAAATACTTTTTGCCATCCAATTAAAAACAGTTGAAAAAAGATTAAATGAATAATTTGAACCAATCCAAAAAAGTATGAAGTCAGCATTTCTGCACTGACTTAGTGATATTTGTTAGTTTGGAAAATTCAGCCAAAAAATGGAACCCAAATACTTCATTAACTGGTTGCATTCTAATTGCTCAGCTATTCACATGTTGAATATTATCTAATTTTTGATCAAAGAATCGATGTAAATCAGATAAATCAATAATTTATTTTAAAAAAATCAAAAAGTATGAGAACAAGAATTTGAGAATGAAAAATGCGTTCAATGAAAACATTGTGATAGTCTTGTATATAAACAATGCCGGATTGCCTGCCATTTGCCCATAAAAATTGACACTTTTGAAGCATTTTGTGTTTGTTTGCAAATTCCTTAGCTGAATGAATGAATTTTATAACATTATTTAATAATCAAATAATTAGCACATCCTTTTATATGGCACTAATTAAATTGACATTGGATAGGAAATACAAGAAAAATTTAAACAATATGACTTTGTTTCAATGCCAAATATTACTGGGATTATAACATTAAGAAAATATTTGAATAATTATGCAAACTAACGGAATGGATTTAGAGGAAGTCATGGGTCAAGCTAATCATTGAATCCCATGAGTTAATTATAACTGGTTAATATGAAAGGGCAAGTGACAGATTACAATACATTCGTTAATTACATAAGTTGAAAGAGAAGTTGCTTTGTTCACCGTTTAGAGACTATCAAATTTACTACAAATATTATCCTACTGATAAGAATTGTTGCCGTGTAATCAATTGTAATCAATTCCTAACTTATCAATATACATTTTTTTCGAAAATTCTAAAATTTCTTAAAGTCATGACTATCTTTGAATTAGTTTTTTCATTTTATCCGTTACTCAGATTTGCATAGAAATAATTCAGGAAGCAAGAACCTATAAATGTCATTCCTTTCATAATTCTCTTCAGTACTTCAAAAACAATGGGTGGTAAATGTTCAAGGATGTTTCAGCAAGATGATCTATATATTGTTTGTCATAATTAAGCGTATATATTCATTTAGTGATACTAATCATTTGCTTACATAACTACCAGGATTAATCAGAACTGGATCGTATATCGTGTGATAATCTAATCTTTGGTTTATATAATCATAATTGTTTTATAAGAGAAAACTCCACTTACTCATCAATTAATCTCTTGTATGTTTTAATAATAAGATTCTGAATATTGACAGGAGTTCAAATTTTTAAACCTTGAAATGAAGGTTTTAAAACTTAAATGGCTAGAATCTAAACCAACCTCAGTAAATCGAAACCTACTGTTTTCAAAGAATGAACATATAAAAGCAAAGTTTATAAGAAAATTCAGAATTTTGTCGATTCAATTTATTGTTTAAAAAAGATTTATCAGTCACAGGTGCAGTGGCAACATCGATCACTTCATCAGGATTTCCTTTCTCTTGATCAAGGAGAAATAGTTATTGCACGAGAATATCATAACCGGTTAACTTTAATCACAGATTATGGGAGAAAAAATTCATCGAACAGAACGAACTTAAAGAATACAGTGAAACAAAAGGGTAGACAGAAAGAGCTTTTTTATGTATTATGAATTTGTTTTTTAGAATGACTTATGAAGTAAAGGGTGCAACAAGAGAAATCCAAAACGTGGTAACAGTTGAACGACTGCATCACAGGAAAACATGTAAAAACAAGGGATTCATTTCCATGGACTATTTACAATTTTTAAGGTGAATCCCATCTGAAATTATCCAATATTTAAAAGTTTAGGGTATAAGTTTTCACAGATGATAGCATTAACATCCAAAAAACTTAGTGTGTTTGTTATTTTTGTTCATTTTTTAAAACAGTTCTACCGGACTGCCGAAAACAGCAGTGAGTCGAGCAATTTTGTCTACTTACGATATTCCACGAGAAATTCTGGAATGCAGGTAGATTTATTTTAATCTGCTGCTCGTGTTTCTCGGTGAATTCAAAGAATAGATCAGGTACGAAGTGACTCACAATTTTTGAAATTGCCAGGTGGTTTGTTGGATGTATTAATCCAGTGGAGGTAGGGATTTGGCTTCGAAATGATCTTCAATCATCATTTGGTAGTTATTTGGTATGTCAACCATCGGAAATCATATCCCATGTTGCAGGATGGCCTAATTATGTATTAGTTGTAAAATGTCTTACCGGTAAGCATGTAAATAACGAAGTAAAAAATTTATGAAATGAACTGACTGTGAAAATAGTTCTTTTTTAACATAATCGAGTTAAGTTGAGTAAATAGATATTGAAATTTGAAAGTATTTAAAAAACCTTGTCAAGTTGTTAATAAACTGGAGAATAAAGATATAAAGATCAATATTAAAGTAAACGATATTTGGTCTTGAATTCTCAGTGGTATTTTAAGAAATGGGAGAACTTTGCCATGAATGGGAAGAAAATCAAAAGCATAACGTTAGCCGTACATTTTCACCGGTCTATCCAGTGCAAGCTTTTAGAACCGATACTATTTCTCACACCAGTCAACCACTCACATCTATTGCTTATATTCGAATCAAAAGGACAACGTAAGCTTTCCTCATTCTTCACACTTGCGTTTGATGTACTGTGTCGCTAAAATCAACACAAAATATCAAATATCGTAATTTCACAGCTCATATTACAAAGTACACAATGCCTATCCATAAATTATTGATTGAATTATCAAAAACTGTCTTGAGTAAGACTTAAAGCTTCGGAGTTTAAAGTATTAGCTCGCCTACAATGCTTTTATAGGACAGGTTATTTCTATCTGTTTGATTCCAATAAGGAATCGTTTCATACGATTTATCAACTTCTCAATTACTACAAAGGTTGTCATTATATTCAGACATTTTTATTTTTTGTATTTTTCCAGTTAAGCTTTTCATTTTCTTTTCTAATAGAGATTCAGTATAGTTCGTGATATTAAAAGATAATTCTGTTGAAACTTCATTTCAAACTGGTGGAAGCAGAAAATCAAAGCGAAATATTGCTGAACAAAAATCAATGAGAAATATGAATGCATCATTAGCACTAGGATATCCAGCAGAATACCATGCCAATCCAATCCTTGGACCAGAACCGATGGAAATACCAGTATCACCAACGTTTTGCCAAGAATCCAAACACACAAATGGTCTAATTATGGTATCAGACAAGAAGGTGCATTATCATTGAACAAATAATTGAATCAGTGCAGTAGTTGATGGCGGTACGCAAAATAGCAAAAATTTTTTCTAGTGAATAATGACAGTGAAGAAGCAATGAAAAAAGAAAATGAGAACTTAACTTTCAAATATTCTAATGAATGGGGTCACATGAAATATCAAATTATTCTTGATCCTGATATATCATCTGTCTACTTTTTTTTTGTGTGATCCAAATAAAACCAAAAAAAAAATGACCTGCTGAATTAAACACATTTATACTTCAAAGTTTAAATAATTCTTCAGGTGATACATTACAAAATCAATATAATATCTGAAATTGCAACAAAACGCAAGACATTTGCTGGAAAGACTTATCGCGGTTAATTTAACTTCAAAATTTAACTCCAATTTAACTTGCTTTCAACTTTTTGGATCTGGATATACCAGCATAAACTATAATTAGCTTCAAATAATTTATACCTTCATATAGACCAATAGTTATTGTTTTAGCTATACTATCATCAGAAGGTCGTTACAACGAAGTTGCATTCAAACGACTCAAGAAGTCTTACTATCAAGAAGAACTTTTTGAAAAATGTCTTGATTTACTGCATGTAGGACGTCGACAATATTCTACTGAACTTTCGAGTGCTGCAAAGTAATTAACTGTTGTTTCTGACTTATTGTCTCTGACAATGCCGCTAATGTACAAAACGGTCCCAGTCTATTGAAGTTACATGTAGTTTTTAACATGCACTTAAAAGACCGCACAACTTAAAATTCATCTATTAAATGGTAACCGTCATTCTTCTCTTCCAATTTCGCTAAAAGTAAAAGAGCTGTTATTGAACCCTTATCACTGTTTGCAGAAATATTCCATACCGTATTCAAGGTGAAGATTATATCTGCAAAATTGCCGGTTTCAGCACTAATGATAAGGTGACTTTGTATGCTGTTGAAATGAATTAAACATTGATACGTAGGGTTATTTGCTATGTTGAAGGCTACATATTTGAGGTATGTATTGTCTATTGTAGAAATCATACTGTCTGTTATAATCTCAGATGTATGGTCCATGGGTGGCATATGAATTTGTGAGCGGGAATTCGCTAGATGTCGCACTTGTGATGCGTAAAAAAGACGGATTACCACCACTGACAAATCGTGCTAACTTTGAAATCATGTACCAAGTATCGTTCTTATAAGCTTACCAAGATAATCACATCTAAAGTATCAGCTCCTTTCTGCAAAATAATGTAGTGTATCAATCGAGCATCGGTCCAATTTGCCAAAAAATTTTGAAAATATTTGCTATAACAATACATTTGCTACAACAAACATGATTCTCGGATTTTATTTTTATGTATACTGATCTTCCACTATCCATGCCTCATTTGAGAAATACTGTTTCATCCAACAAGATTAGACCAGAATTCTTAAAAAAAAAAAAAAAAAAGAAAATGAAAAAAAAAAGAAAATGAAAAAAAAAACCAGAATTCTTAAATTAGAGCATGACGCAGCAACTTTCCGTCACTCCTTCAGATTTATGTACAGTTCAAAATGACTTTACAGATAGCGGCTGGAATGCGATATCTTGAAAATAACGGCTTATGTCATCGAGATCTTCGAGCAGCGAACATTCTCGTTTATGTACAGCATCAGTATTCAATGGCTATCAAAATTACCGATTACATGCTAACCCTCTCCATTTTAAGTAAACTGGTACCTTTTTCAACTGGTACAAAGCTTGATAAAAGACATAAATATCCCGAATAAGTAAAAAAATTGAGATACCGATCTTTGCCATAGAATACCACTCTATTCTGGAAACTCCACTGTATTGACTCACTATCGAACAGATACAGCAAACGAAAACCAACTTAGATATGCCAGTTTGATAGGAGTTGCCAATTTCAGCCAGAAAATTCAGACCTTAGCTCTTTGCACTGGAGATGGATGGATTATGAAGCTCTTGAATACCGTCAATTTGGTATCAAGACTGATATTTGGTCATTCGGCTGTGTAATATTTGAAATTTTAAATCCCGGAAAATTGCCATATTCACTAGAAAAAATTCCAATCGAAAATCCGCAAGGGTACTTCTCAGGCTGACTTTATTTACTTTTTGATGAATATCACTTTGCGTTTGTAAAAACCAATGTTCCTCCAGTTTGTAATCTTTTCTATAGTTCTATTTTCTATCTTGGCTGGCTCCTACTCCTAGATTGATAGCTTTTCTAACTTATGAAAGAAATAAATTATTTTCCAAATGTTCAAGATTTTGTTCTCTTCCTGTTAGTGATCTATTGCGAATTTGGAATAGTTAAACTAGAAATCACCACCTATATTTTTACTATAACTTTAAGGTTAATAAAATTTTTGGGATATGGTAAACGAATGACGATACAAAAAAGTGCCCAGCAAAGAATACCGAATTTTATTTCGGTAAAATTTTTTGGACTTCTCGTTTCCATTATATATGAAAAATGAACAATTCCTCATAATTTTGCTTTCTCCTTCGCAATATCAATAGATGATAGCACTTTTTACTCTTTTTTAATATTTATCACCATTACTTTACAAGGAAAAACATACTCTGAGAACGTTACAAATTTTCTAGACGTTAATAAACTGTTGTTGGATGGCACCAAAAAGTCGTCCCTCATTCGACGATCTGTTCAACTTTTTCTATGATCTGTTATTCGACTTTACGAATGACTATAATAAAGTTATCAGCGAATACAAAATAAAGGCCTTCTTAAGATTATTCAATAATTTGCAATTTTAAATTATTCGCTAAAAGTTCTACAGCTATAGATAGTATTTCACCTGAACAATTTAGCCAGCAAATATAAAATTTGCTTATTCTATAGTGAGCTGCTTTTGGTTTCAATTAAATAAGAATCAGTTGCATGGACTAATGAAGCAGCATATTGCCTACTTGAAGAGCCAAAGTAACTATATCAATACAGTGCCTTCCTTCACAAACTAGTGTATCATCACTGTGACTACTTGAAACATGGAAGAAATTTCCGCCTTGACAAAAAGTAATCTAATTCAAATTTAGGAAGGTGGCTCTGCACAACATTAAAGTATTACATCCAAAAGTGCTGGCAAAAAAAGAAGATATGAACATAAATAAAAGAAAAACAAAACAATGATTTTTCTTCAATGAAATCCAACTGATTGCTTATCTCTCATGCATTTGAGCAGCAATGGAATATTGTACTTCTTGCAATTTTGCAGAAGAAAAATCTGCAATTTCTTATTAACAAAGTAAGACATGAAGTATATTTCCAATACACCAGTACATATCTTTAAATTTTGAAAGTGATTTCTCACATTCCTAAATGTTCACTAAACGCACAATCAACGCCGTATTCTCAAAACTGATACTTATTCTGGAGATCAGACCATCGCACCAACGGATTTTAAAACCATGGAATTAGCCTGCAAATTATTAATTAATCCGGCAGAACTATGCTGCACTTAATCCTTCGACGGAAGAAATCCCTGGTAAACTTTTTGTCCATGATCAACTTTTGAAGATAGAACCACTGTGGTTCTTAATACAGTATACATAACTATGTCAGCCATGCTTCCAAGAACATTTGGGCCCTGTTTACGTAGGCCAAAATCTCCCTCTCTCACTCAGTTGTCATGATTTTTGCATTATAGTTTTTCTTTGTTATTCCAGCCTTAAAATTTTTTGTGCGTAGTCAGTAAATAAATGATCGATTGCATAACATCTATAACATGCTTTCTCCGCTCCTAGCGATGTTCTACACTTGGCTGCTGTGTGATTCTCATAGTGACCACATTTAAAATATCTTACAGCATGTGATTTATTCTTTCCAAGAGAACTAATAGAACTTCGCTTAGTTTTCCAGTAGATTCTGCTCTTATAACAGCCGTTACTGCGTTATCATCCGGCCGTTTTCGAATTACAAAACGAACATGTTCACCGGCATCCAGACTTCGAAAATTAACCATATTTAATTTAAACTGATGGACAAATACATCAACACTACCTTTATCAATTAAACCATTTATACATTTCAACTTATGCCGCTTCTCTTCCTTCACCCATTGATGCTAAATACTTGGGCAATTATATTTCCTCACTTGATCATAAATATTTTTATATTATTCTCAACAGCGAACTAAGGGTGAACTAAGCATTGTTGCTATATTCCTGTAAATCAAAAATTTTTTTAATGACTTTACGAAAACTAAAGATCTCAATTTCGCTATCAATATTAGAATTTTCACATGCTTGTCGCCATTTTCGTTAATTATCAGAAGCGGTTCACTATCTTTATGATCGTGACTTCGTGCATTATGACATTAAAGCTACATACAAAATGTATTTCTGGGTTCAAATGGTGATTTAAAATTTGCTGACTTCGGCTCTGCTCGTTATATCAATCAGAAAGAAAGATCGAAATCTTTCTGTGGCACCAAACTTTATTCTGCACCAGAAATTGTTCAGTTAATTCGAAATAAAAGTTATTCAAATACACAAAAGTTGTACTGTCACACTGTTCATCGAGCAAGTTATCCTGCAGAGTTGTGCCTATGTAAAGAAAAATACTGTTCAAAATTATTCAATCAATTGATGACAGCAAGCACGAATTAATTGATAGTTCGAAACCAATTTTTTTCAAATTAACATTCCAGTTAATGTTCAGCTTAATAAACTTGTAGTTATTGTAAAACATGCTTGTTACCTGTTAGTAGTGAATATTAAGATTCGACCTGAACTCTAGTTTTCATTGAAATAAGTATAAGAATTTGAATTCAGTCGACCATATGATGCATATGCTAGTGATTATCACACGATGGGTGTATTAACAAAATCCTTATCGAGATACATGAAAGAACAGCTTCTTGTTTGAGCATGCAATTGTGCAATTGTTCGCCACTTGGCATTCACGTTTCATAATAACGTTAATGAATTTCTGTGTTTGCAAATGAAAAAAGCGCCAAAAATTAAAAAGAAAAAAATAAGCTGTTTGCAGGATCCACACGAGACAATTAAAAAGATGTTAAACTGCATGATCTCAAGAGACATACTCTCGCGTGCTGCATGAGACATACTGTGCCTAACGAATGAAGATTATCAATTCCACCATGAATTAGCCTGCAAATTATTATGGCATACTTCACTAACTGACCAATATAGGAGCTTTAAAATGATACAAATGCACGCCCCTCAACAAATGGTCAAAAGTTTCCACAACACATAAATACTGGTAGCACCACTAGAAGTCAGTGTCACCTGTCATTACATCCCGAGAATTTAGCAAACCTGGTCTGAGCCTTCGGTTTGAGAAATGTTTGCTAAATTTTGCATAATAGCGCTAGATTATAATGTTTCATTATGTGCAAGAGACTTTGCACAGTATGAATATGGTTCATCCAGCACTTTGGTCTTGTGGTATTATTTTACTCAAGTATTTCTTTACTAATGTGTGCATACTGTAAATTACATTTTGAGCCCTTTCAGAATATTTTAAAATGCAGAATTACAAGCTTTCAAATTAGTCAACCTAACCTGTGGAATTCAACAAAAAAAACTAATTGTTATCCACCAACCTGATTCCATAAAGACTTCGCAATGAACTTTGAATTGAAGTCTTCAAATTTGAATTCAGAACATATCCATCACAATATTCCTATTTCACTCTGTTTCAAAGTGTCGTTAAGCCAAATTCATTCTTCAACCAATGATTATTACTTTATTAGTATTTTTGAATATCCATAGGATGAAAGCTTTGGGCAGTGACGTTGAGACAGTAGATTATGGTAAGAGTGTTTATGTAAATTTGTAATTGTCTAGACAAAGTCAGGTTAGGTGTCCAGGAATACCCATGACAGAAATTCAGAATTTAGAAAGAATCAGATATCATATTTTGTTTTTTTAAACAATAGTTCTTTCAAAAGGCTGCGATCAATTTAGCTTAAGCTTCTGTTGAATTTGTCATTTTAGCACACTAAAAGCATTTAAGAGTTCTTTTAACCAAACTGTCAAACTAAGTACGAACCTGTCAAGTTTGTCAAGTTGAAAATTTGTAACTTATGTTGGAGAAAGATTTAACAGTATGTTTTTGTTGTTGTCGTAACTCTACAACATCGATAATAGCTTTATTGGCTTTGTACGATATGATACAATATCGTACTTATATAATAAAAGGATGAACATACAGTAAAAAGAATGAATATACAGTAGATATTAAATTATACCAATATTTAGCTGAACATTCACTAAGTTGTACACTATTGGGTTTGTTAACATTTCAATATACTCATTCCTCTGTGGACTGTTGCTGTTAATGAAGGAATAAATTGCGCTCAAATTGCTGAACTGTTAAATCGAGTCTATCAAAACTCTATTGTTGTTCACTCTTTTTAATTTCTTCGAAAATTCCTCCCCTTCTAGCGGTGAACATCTCCAGGTCACTTCTTGTGACCATGTTTGATTGGACATGTTGCTTTAGCTGCTATACTGCTTCAGCTCCAGCGTGTGGTTTCATAATTTGTTCACGCATGGATTGAGGCCTAACTGCTATTTATTCTTCAGCTTGTTGATATTTTCAAAAATTGTTTACTGCTATTTAGCCTTGTTAACATACTTGTATATGTTGCAAATTCAATATCGCGATACTTCAGTAATAATATAAATCTATTAGTCATATGCCAAAAATTTATCAAATGTTAACAATTTGTTCTCACATTCACAACTAATCATCTCATTTTATCTTGCTTCTATCTCGTATCATGTATGCAAATGAACATTCCATGTAATATCCATGGTAATTCATTGTAATTCTATTGTAAACCACTCCCAACTCTTAACATATATAAACCTAAGACTAAATAACCTGAAGTCTTTAAGTCGTAATCAAGGAGGAGTCGCTATCGTCCACAAACGTCGTATTTTTCTTCTCAAGTATTAAGTATTCCCGCTCTGTATATTCGACTAACCCATAAAACCAACCGATCTTCACGACAGTATACAATAGCTAATTACATTTTTCGGCTTCGCTGATATATTAATCGTCACAACAGCTCAAAATTATTAAACTTCGTCGTTTCTTTATGATACTTACCCAACGCACCTGTTACCACACTTATGGCATTACAAAAAAGTACCGTCAAATCAAAGGATCGATGCACATAATTCTCACATTCCTGACATGATATTCTTTTATAATGTTATTCTTCAAGTCGATTCATCATAAATGATCAATAAGGAAGGAGATCGATGGAGTAATTCACTAACGAGCATCGTTATCAACATGCTCGTGTTTGATGTTACGCATGCAGATCTCACTGATGTCAACTTTGCTTTCATCAAAACGAATTAGGTATGTTGTTTCAGTCAGCAAAGCATCCTTTTACTAATTATTCATGGATATCAATTTATGACAACTCTGACCGATCTAATGATTACATTAATCTTAACAGTAATCATGAGGAAAATGAATAATGGTTAACTAAATAACAATTACTTGGAAGAAAGCCTTTGCATTCCGTAACCTCAGGACTTTTTGGCAGACTGTCTTGGGATTTTCAGAGTGCTACACTCTACTCACTGTTCTTTTTCAATAAGTATTTTTGTTTAGTTACATATGGGCTGTTTAGATCCATGATATGAATCTTATTCTCATTAATCAGATATTTTTCATTCACAATTATCACGTTAGCTTTTGGTGGAGGTGATACCACAAAATTTTCAGGCTTATTAACCTTAACAATTTTTGTAAAAATCACGTAATCACAATCCTCGAATATTTGTATTAAGTAGCCGTCGTCATAACCATTCAAAATACGAAAAGTCCATTCCGAAAGATCATAATAAGAAACAGGACGGTAGATACCATACGCTACCAGTGGTACCAGCTAAAGCAGATTTTTTAGGTCCAGTAATCATATTTTAAAGTAATGCATTTTACCTTCTTTCTGTGGGTGGATAACAGTAATTTGTTGACATTATTTGAATTATTCACAGCAATATCATCATTAATGGATGCTAATGTTGACGTAGCTTTTGTTCCATCATATATATTTTCGACATTTTTCATAAATCGATGCTACAAAAATCTTAAGATGTTGTATGTACAGTAAGAACGAGAATTACAGATACCATACGCTACTAATGCTATTAATTAAACAAATTTTCTAATCAAATATTAATAAATAAATGAATCATACTTGTTTTGTGGAAATAGATGGTTGTGATTTAATGAAATCATTTGAATACGTTGACGTTGATATAGCTTTTTTTCCATCACTATTGATATTTTTTATAAACCAACGCTACAAAAATCCAAAGATATACTATTAACTGAAGTAGATTCTTTAGATGAAATATTAATAAAGTAATGGATTTTACTTGGTTGGTGGGAAAGGATGGCAGTGACTTAATGAAGTTATGTGAATATGTTGACGTTGGTGTAGCTTTTGTTCCATTACGGTTGACATTTTTCATAAGTCGGTGCTGCAAAAATCCGAAGATGTTAGATATATGGTGAAAACGAGAGGACGAATGCCATACACTCCAATCCTATTAACTTCTTTAATGCCATAAGCTACTAATGCTACATTCCTTATTCTTTAATCAGATATTAATAAAGAAATGAATTCTACCTGGTTTGTGGAAATGGATGGTTGTGGCTTAATGATATACGTTGAAATTGATATGGCTTTTGTTCCATTACGACTGACATTTTTCATAAATCGATGCTACAAAAATCTTAAGATGTTGTATGTACAGTAAGAACGAGAATTACAGATACCATACGCTACTAATGCTATTAATTAAACAAATTTTCTAATCAAATATTAATAAATAAATGAATCATACTTGTTTTGTGGAAATAGATGGTTGTGATTTAATGAAATCATTTGAATACGTTGACGTTGATATAGCTTTTTTTCCATCACTATTGATATTTTTTATAAACCAACGCTACAAAAATCCAAAGATATACTATTAACTGAAGTAGATTCTTTAGATGAAATATTAATAAAGTAATGGATTTTACTTGGTTGGTGGGAAAGGATGGCAGTGACTTAATGAAGTTATGTGAATATGTTGACGTTGGTGTAGCTTTTGTTCCATTACGGTTGACATTTTTCATAAGTCGGTGCTGCAAAAATCCGAAGATGTTAGATATATGGTGAAAACGAGAGGACGAATGCCATACACTCCAATCCTATTAACTGAAGCAGATTCTTTACTCAAATATTAATAAAGTAATGAATTCCACCTGGTTTGTGGAAATGGATGGTTGTGGCTTAATGATATTGAAATATGGCTTTTGTCCCATTACGACGACTGACATTTTTCATAAACTGATATTCCAAAAACTGGTGTAAACTGGTGTATTAATAATAATAATAATTAATAATAATAATAATAATAATAATAATAATAATAATAATAATAATAATAATAATAATAATAATAATAATAATAATAATAATAATAATAATAATAATAATAATAATAATAATAATAATAATAATAATAATAATAATAATAATAATAATAATAATAATAATAATAATAATAATAATAATAATAATAATAATAATAATAATAATAATAATAATAATAAAATAATAATAATAATAATAATAATAATAATAATAATAATAATAATAATAATAATAATAATAATAATAATAATAATAATAATAATAATAATAAAATAATAATAATAATAATAATAAATAATAATAATAATAATAAAATAATAATAATAATAATAATAATAATAATAATAATAATAATAATAATAATAATAATAATAATAATAATAATAATAATAATAATAATAATAATAATAATAATAATAATAATAAATAATAATAATAATAATAATAATAATAATAATAATAATAATAATAATAATAATAAATAATAAATAATAATAATAATAATAATAATAATAATAATAATAATAATAATAATAATAATAATAATAATAATAATAATAATAATAATAATAATAATAATAATAATAATAATAATAATAATAATAATAATAATAATAATAATAATAATAATAATAATAATAATAATAAATAATAATAATAATAATAATAATAATAATAATAATAATAATAATAATAATAATAATAATAATAATAATAATAATAATAATAATAATAATAATAATATAATAATAATAATAATAATATAATAATAATAATAATAATAATAATAATAATAATAATAATAATAATAATAATAATAATAATAATAATAATAATAATAATAATAATAATAATAATAATAATAATAATAATAATAATAATAATAATAATAATAATAATAATAATAATAATAATAATAATAATAAATAATAATAATAATAATAATAATAATAATAATAATAATAATAATAATAATAATAATAATAATAATAATAATAATATAATAATAATAATAATAATAATAATAATAATAATAATAATAATAATAATAATAATAATAATAATAATAAATAATAATAATAATAATAATAATAATAATAATAATAATAATAATAATAATAAATAATAATAATAATAATAATAATAATAATAATAAATAATAATAATAATAATAATAATAATAATAATAATAATAATAATAATAATAATAATAATAATAATAATAATAATAATAATAATAATAATAATAATAATAATATAATAATAATAACAATAACAATAACAATAACAATAACAATAACAAACAATAACAATAACGACAATAATAATAATAATAATAATAATAAATGAACCTATTCATTTTAAAATACTGCAAAAACAAAAGATCTTCATTACACAAAAATCGATGGATACATTTTAGATGTTGCAAAATCAGTGGATAAACTTTTGATATTAAATTCTTTTGATATATTCTCCCATGAAGTATTTAAATGTTTGAACACTGTTTAAGGAAAATGTTAATGAAGAACAAGGCCAAATTAAAATTGGCTGAATTAAAGAATAAGTTAAATAAACAAACGTTTACAATGTTGTACATGTCAGTAGAGGTTAAGCGCGTTTCAATGATAACGAAGCTGAATAAGGTGAAATATATCGTAATCATTTTAACCTAAATTCTTTTTTTCAGCAAATTATAAGTGCACTTTGGACTTTAATTGACTATATGAATTTTAATGACCTCATAGCTTAACAAACATTGGTGTTTGCTAGCTCATAGTAGAAAAATAAACAAAAAATAAACAAAAAAAATTGATAACACATAGTTAAACTACAGAAATTTTTTTTATCATTCTTGTCCTCATTTTTAGAGTTTTTATTTGATACTGTATACTTTATTTCACTTGTATCTATCTAAATAAAGCTCCATTACACTAGAATATACTGATTGTACTATCAAAGATATTACCAGTAATGCTACTTACAACAAACATCAACTTTGCTTTATACCATTCATCACAGAAAGTAACGACTAAAGTTCAAATTTCAATAAAAATCTGCTCACGCTAATATAAAACTATTGATGCCAACACTTTCTTGCGAGATTTTATAAAATGTTAACGCCCTTCCTAAACTAATCAATGACCAAACGTGAAATACATCCAGAAACTTCTCATTCCTATATTTAGATACATTTTGTATAGTATCCATTTGTCATTGATATTTACATTTTACGTATTCAGATTACAGTGTAACGAACTTCAATTTGTTGACAATGATGTTTCATCAACGGAAATCTTTGCCTTGTTGCACAAAAGATTTTTTACATATTTATTAAAACTTCTTAAATTAAAGTTTTACGTTTAATTTTTTCGAGAAATAATTTGCAGAAACCAAGGAACAGTTTTTTAGATTATATCGAAAAGTCTGATGTAGTGCTGCGATCAATATCAAAATGATAAATGACAAAGAGTGAAAATTCTTTGCATTTCTATTTAAAAAAGACATGAATTGATGAAGTGAAGGATCTGTTTTTGATTAATTTACAAAAAAAGCTAGTCATTGAGGTTAGAAGCATGGATGAACATCTCACTAAACAGTCCTATTTATTCCATAATCTGCATGAGAAATATCTCCATTAATTATTTCTTCAGCATTGCGCCCTCATTTTGACTACAGGATGAATCCATCACAATGAAGATTGATACTGTCTGTACAGTATTCATGCTCCTGCTCATTTGCCCAAAACATTTCACTACTTGCATTTATTGGAGATATTGTCTTAATTTTTAAATTTGTCCTTGTTATTTAAACTAAAAAAAAAATGACATTTATAAAAACTAGGAAAAAGTGACATTCAACTATTACACTGTTCAGTTATCCGAGACAGTAGAAAAGCGCTTCCATATTTTGTATAGTTATAACGATGTGCCGAAAAATTATAGGTCCTTGTTAGGAAATCTTTTTCAGTTGTAGTTTGGAGCTGGTATGTGTTGTGAAGGAGTATACTGCAAAGAATTTTAATTGCTAACAACCAAGAAACACAAGTTTTAATCTATACCATTATATTAAAAATTTCTAGAGTTTATTCATGAAAGTGAGATGAAGATGAAAAAATAAATTGATGGAAAAATTAAGTAAAGGATTTAAATGGATCGAATTAAATAAGTGAAAGATAGTGGCCGAATTGTAGCTTGCTGATATTAAAAACCTGACCTAAACAATAGTAGGTATTGGCTTACAATAAGCGTTCTGATTACAGTGAGTAAAAATTACAAGAGCTATCGATTAGATCATCTTTACTCTTTATATAGTAAGCGTTTGTTTTAATATTATTGGTTGCTTATAAGAAAGACTATTAGATTAAAAACCTTTACAATACAAACAGACTTGTTTTAGAACAAAGCAGCAATTTTCAACATGTTAAACACGCACATATGCTTTGTTTACAGTTGTAAAATTCAGCTACAACTGAAAGACCAGTGCTGGATGAATGATTGCTTACATAATATGCAATTTTGAAACAACTTTATATTTGTCTAAAGAATATTCAATTAAGACAATCTTTAGTCCTTTACATTTAATGCAATTTAATTTCGACATATTATAATTCGGCTTTTCCAGCAGATGACTACATAATACAAATATTCGATCAAATTGAATAAGTGCAAGGCATGACCTCCACCAAAAGCTAACTATTCGAGGATTGTGATTACGTGATTTTTACAAAAATTGTTAAGGTTAATAAGCCTGAAAATTTTGTGGTATCACCTCCACCAAAAGCTAACGTGATAATTGTGAATGAAAAATATCTGATTAATGAGAATAAGATTCATATCATGGATCTAAACAGCCCATATGTAACTAAACAAAAATACTTATTGAAAAAGAACAGTGAGTAGAGTGTAGCACTCTGAAAATCCCAAGACAGTCTGCCAAATTGTTATTTAGTTAACCATTATTCATTTTCCTCATGATTACTGTTAAGATTAATGTAATCATTAGATCGGTCAGAGTTGTCATAAATTGATATCCATGAATAATTAGTAAAAGGATGCTTTGCTGACTGAAACAACATACCTAATTCGTTTTGATGAAAGCAAAGTTGACATCAGTGAGATCTGCATGCGTAACATCAAACACGAGCATGTTGATAACGATGCTCGTTAGTGAATTACTCCATCGATCTCCTTCCTTATTGATCATTTATGATGAATCGACTTGAAGAATAACATTATAAAAGAATATCATGTCAGGAATGTGAGAATTATGTGCATCGATCCTTTGATTTGACGGTACTTTTTTGTAATGCCATAAGTGTGGTAACAGGTGCGTTGGGTAAGTATCATAAAGAAACGACGAAGTTTAATAATTTTGAGCTGTTGTGACGATTAATATATCAGCGAAGCCGAAAAATGTAATTAGCTATTGTATACTGTCGTGAAGATCGGTTGGTTTTATGGGTTAGTCGAATATACAGAGCGGGAATACTTAATACTTGAGAAGAAAAATACGACGTTTGTGGACGAT